TATTTGTGATACATTTACCTTAAGTGAGATTTTGTTTCCTACTATGATTCAGTTTTGTGATAGGGATGGATAGGACTGGTTATATGTTTATTGCATGAATAAAATAGTATTACATTACATGGCCGAACATGCTAATCTATTATTTAACTCCGATGCAGTAATAAGGAATTGTGCATTTAAGACGGAAGTGTTTGTCCGATTAACAATGAAACTGGTTTAACTACAGATTGTTATGTGAAGAGATTTTGCAAGATTTATGTTGTTTTGCATACATGGACTACTATTGTAACTATGAGTGACTGTCGTATGCGATCACATAACACTTAATCAGCTTGTGCGTTCTTAGCTTTTACTCTTCGTTGCAGCCTAAGTATGTATCGATTGTAAGAAAGAGCATCCAAAAAATTTGCAAGTCGCCTATTTTTTCGCATTTAATGTGATTTAAATTAATGAGCACGCAACACGGCTCGCGACCCGATTAAATGCCGTCGTTTGAATCATCGTATAAAATACGAAGCTTCTTCGCAATAGGCACGACCGATTAATGACATGAGTTAAAAAAAGTGCAGAGTCTAAAAAATCTTCCGAAGTAATATAAACATTTATGTGACAGATTTAATATTCGATTTTAAATTTAATAAAATTATTTTTAATTCAAAAAAATAAAACAATTTAAGGAGATCAATAATTTATATTAACGTTTTCCTAAATATATATTTTAATATTTATTTTTAAAATAATTATTTCCATGGCCATTTGAAGAGAAAAGGATAATAAAACATAATAAATTATTTCCTTTGAGATGTTATCTTGAATTAAAGAAGCTTTGACATATTCATTATATGTTTTAATATTCTTAGGAATATATATTTAATATTCTTAGAAAGGATAATCGTGCATATTTATTACTAATGAAATTATTATCCTGATACGAACAAATATTTTTTAGAATACAAAAAAGATTTGTTATATTTGAAGTAAAATGTAATTTACTTCTCACATTTTCGGGAGATTATTGCAAACTCCATATGAGGTTTTAATCAACTCTGACTGTATATGTTGTTATTCTATGCTCCCGTATTTTGCAAAAGTTGTATAAAGTTGCGGATTGCTATGCTCAATCTGTTTAGTAAAAATCTTGATAATATCGATTGCATCGAAGATGTAGCTAAAAATGTAAGAAGTGTGTAGTTCTAGAAATCAGATGATTGTACTTACATAAACAATGAGAAATATTTGGACTGGTTTTTTATTACATTGTGATTCTTATTGCTTATTGTTGCTACATTAATTTCATTATTCTAACGTGCAAAATCCGGTCGTAGTTATTTTTTCTTTATCAAGATTATTTCTGTCCGTAAGCGAAGATGTGGGTACGTCGCGATATGTATTTTGCTATTCACTATGTTTAACTGACGATAGTATAACGTAACCACATGTATCGACAACACGTTTGTGATAATAAAATAACATTTGTAATTGAATATTATGATAAACGTGATATTCTAAACATCGCGCACTCTTTTCGATCATATTGCTTGAATTTTAATATGAGACCAAATATGTACATACGTGATATTTTCAAATCTCATCCAATTTAATTATTTATGTATTTAATTGCATCAATTGGAATTATCATTAAACTCAGACTCTTAAACATATTAAAGCATGTGGAAAACGCAAATGAATCAATGACTAGAAAGTTGAGCGGTTGATATTCATTCTGGAGAACAATGTAAATGAAACTATCGTAGTTATAAATTGTTTCTATTTAAAGATTTAGCTATGAATACATATGTGTTCGCTAACATTTTCGCGTTCAATAAAAATAAACGAGCATCTGACGGCGCCGGCATCTTTAACACTCCCGATCTCTCATTCGACGAATAACCAAATTGATCCCATAGTTTCCTTGAGCCAATGACATAATTCAAGCATCAAAACAATTTCAATTGATACGCTTATTCGCTTCTTGCCGTAAACTCAATTTCTATCTACTATTTATTTCTATCTACTATTTGTGTACTGATATCACGGATTCATTTATAAATACTTAATTAAATAATTCACTTCATTTTTATTTCTTTGATTCAAATCATTTAAATAATTTCTACATGGATTTTGTTCGACTCTATAATCTCTTTTTCATTGCTTAAAAATACGAAAATTTTCCATAAAATATTTTAATTGTTTTTCAATTGACAGTTTTTTTTCTTTCCATTTAAATATTTTATACACACTGAAGAGAGAAAAATGATGTTATATATAACAGCATTATTTTAATTGAAAATATTTTGTTAATTTAATAATAGTATTAATGAAACAAATAAAATTTTATCAGAACAAGAGCATGGCGTATTTGTTTTATTAATATATAATAATATTATTTATGTGTGTTTGTTCCACACAGCAGTGATTATAAAGCGCTAAAAAAGCACTTACAAGTGCATAATTCTAACAGTTTTTAGCGCTTTAAAAGCGCTTTCAAAATCCATGAAAAGCGCATTATAAGCGTATACAATGCAGAATAAATCCAGTTTTATAGCACGTTTACAGCATTTTTCATGTAACACAGTGCCTGCAAAGCGTTCAGAAAGTGATGTAAACGCGCATTCAATCAGCGCAGAATAAATGCTTTTTATGCGCATAATCATTTTTTGATCAGTGTAACTTGAAATCTGCCGTTATTCACATGTAATGAAACTGACAGCAGTTTTGGGAGATACAGTCACAAAAACGCGGTCCCAAAGCGCTTTGCACGCTCTTGTGCTACGTAGAATGTGTGTGTGTGTGTGTGTGTGTGTTTGAATTGACAAAGTTATTTTTAATTAAAATAATGCTATTAACATAACATCATTTTTTTAGTGTACGTGATATTTGCTCGTAATAATTTTTATACCAATTGTTATACCAATATCGATATTTTGTGAATAACTTATAAATAATCTATATATAATTTCTATTAGATGCTAAGATTAGACGTTCTTTATAATTTCATGTAATTTTGATTTGTGTATATAATTTGTTTATATAGATATGTGTCAATGTTGATCTGACTTTTTAAATATTTTATTTTGAAGCACATAAGATAAACACATAAAAAAAATTTTGTTACAAATTAAAATCGTCTAAAATGTAGATTCAGTAAAATAGATAATTAAAATATTTTGATGAACTATTCTTCAGAAATATGAACGAATAATAAAATCTTGTTTTTTTTTTGGTTGAAATTTAATAGAATCTCAATTTTCAAGAAAATTAGGATAAAAATTTAAGAAATTATGAAGAATTATATTTCGAAAAATTTTTGAAAAGAAGAAATAATGTCACTTTTTAACAAAAAATATATTTACGAGAAAATAGTTTGATATGTCGCTGAACAAAGGTTGCATTTAAACAATCAATTATACATAATGACAAATATACATTACTTTAAAGGCTACGCATATGTTTGTTATCGCTACTATCATAATATTCCCGTCATACTTCGTTATATGAAAACTTACGATAGTAATTTTCGATTATGTCATATTCGATAAATGAGCGGGAAACAAAATCATGGATTGTGAAAAAAGGGACGCTCGTGTTCGATATTTTGTGAAAGGCACGTGCGATCGTGAACCATACGGCTGTCGCATCATAAATCAACGGGTTAACGGGGTTTGTTGCGTTTCTCTTGAGATTTATTTTGGTATTATATCGATAACCTTACGATGATAGCCTCTGTGTTCATGTCGCACCCTTTCGCGATTCTCTTCCACGTGCCTGTTTACACGATTCATATGCTGTCCGTGTAGCTTAATCTCACGATCGGCAAGATTAATCCTTGTCAGCAAGAGTTCGAAGATTTGTTGTTCGATCGCGGTCAACATTCCTTTAATTTTAATGCAATTTAACAGTGCAATTTAACAGTACCAAGATATTTTTTTTTACATAATCACAAACAGAAAATATTTTATGTAAAGCATATAATTATTAATTATAATGTAATAACTTATAATTATTAACATTAATTTACGTCTCCTACTGGATTATCATTAGGATTACAGAGAATAATAAATGGTGAACCATATTATCAAATAATAATGGAAAACGAGATAATACAAAAAAAGATAATACAATCATAAAATTATAAGAATATAGGAAGTTTTATAATAATATGAAAGTATATACATATTCTTCCATAATACATGAAAGTTTTAGTAATAAAATATAGTTATAAGTACTGTATGAAATTGCATTCCACAACATTAAACTTTTATTGTACTGTAATTTACAACCATGGTACACAATCAAGTTGTAAACTTTAAAATTCTACAATTTTTTATCTTTGAATTTTTTATATTTTCTTGAATCTTTAAGTACACATATACGCTATATTTTAAAATATTTCTTTTATGATTAACTTTAAACTTTGATTGAACCTCAATTTTCTTTTGTTTATTTTCGTTGTGAATGATATATCGCAGTATTTGTTAAAATAATATTAGCATACAAATTTTTTTTAAGAAGATTAGGCCATTAGATATTTTTATATATTTTGACTGAAACCGAATTTGATATTTAAATTGCTTCGTTACGTCACAATGTTTTTTATCGATGAAAATATCTCGATTTTCAATATTCTTTAACCTACAACATATTATCGTTGAACTTATTTTCTTCTTTATTTCAGCATGTATACATCTAAAAATAGCTAGACTATAAATAACTAAAAATACTGGAAAATAGATCTATTTCTTATTAATAAAAAGTTGTGACGTGATAAAATGGAGCAATTTGGATATTGGATTTAATCTTAGAGCATCAAAATGTATAAGAATAGTCTATTTATTTTTGTATCCTTGTGTAACCATTTCATGATAATCATGGCATCGATCGTCAAGCATCATCGATTTGCGAGGAGGCACTGCGCGCGTATTCGGCCTACAATCTATATCGAGAATACCATGAGATTTTGCGTATATGTTAACAGATGGATCTCGTTTATTGGATAGCCGCAAAACGAGTGCAACGCAGAATGGAACGGAGTGCGAATAACGACGATGAAACGATTGCTTGATGATGCTTGACCCGTTTAAAAAAAATGCATCTCTTTCAGGTTCGTTGTCTGAGCACTTCTAAGACAATAAATGCGACAAAGAAAAGAACATTTCTAAGCTACGAATTTATGACAGAACGTCAATTTTTTTCAGTGATATTCACATAATTAAAACACGGGCCTGATGATAGAAAGCTTATCTCGCATCTGGTTACATTGCAAAACATATGTAATTTTATATTATGTACGTGTCACTTGACATAATATTCACATGTTTTATACAGGATTTGCTATAAAATCATTCATAAAATCAATAACATAATATGTATAATAAGATTTCTTATACGGAATTTTGAAACAATCTGTTCAGAAATTGAGTTAACAAAGCATTCTTTTTTTTCACTTCTGTAGTAATTAAATTTAGAAAATTAAACGTGTTTGGCAATTTAATTACAACAGTAAATTTTAAAATTCACTGAAAATTAGCAAAGAGATTAAGGTATCATTACCGCTATATTCCAGAAATCTGGTATGGCTTGAAATGCTCCAATTTTTAATATTAAATAACTTTATAATATACAACCTCGAACATTTTATATTTGATTTTATATATGATTGTACTAAGTTAGATAACTATTAATTAAATTAGATAACTTAAATGTTCAATTTTTTAAATTAAAAGCAAGTTTTGCAAACAGTGTCAGAAGTATTCCATATTAATAATACAATTATAGAATATCGATCGGAGTATATCAAGCATTTCTTATATACATTTTTTAATAACCGAATACGTTTAAAATTTCAAGTTTTTCGTGGTTATGGCTGAATCCGATGTACTGACATAATTCAGATATAAAATGCAATCGAGTTACATTTAAGCTGCACGTATAAAGAGTCGTATTATTAAACGATATAATAACTCTCTCTATCAAAAATTGCGCTTACTTATATATCACATTTTAGAATTCTGCTATTTTAAAAACTATTAACTTTGTTCAAAAACTACGCGATAAACAGTTGTACGATTAAACCGCGATTTCCTGACGAATTCCTTTGCGATTACATTTAGATGCAGTTCAACTAAAAACAAAATAACGATACGAAAAAAAAGTATTCGTTATCGATGATAGATCGACAATACCTCGACGGTATCGCGAGCATCCCTGTATCGTGAAGAGTGCGGGCGTGAAAAGCGTAGAGACGTGATCTTCACCCACGAGTCGACCGTCTCCTAAACGGTCTCCCCGCTGCCCGACGACGGCTACAGCGGCAAGGAACAACTTTGACCACGGTGGAAACGAGAAGAGAATTCCGGAGGACGTTGGACCAAGGGAGACAGCACGACCACCGCGTGTGCGGCAGTGGGGATCAGAAGAGGGAGAGAAAGGGAGAGAGGGAGAGAGATAATCGACGCGGGAGAGGAATCTGATAGAGCGAGACGGCGGATCAAAGAATCCGGAGGAGGGAGAGAACGTGCCGATCCGCGGCGCGCGGTGGGAGAGACCGCGAGATCGCGTCGGCGAAATACAAAGAGAGGAAGAGAGAGAGAATGAGTGACGGTGATAGAGGGAGCGAATAGGAAGAGGGGGAAAGACGAACTCTCCTCCTGGTGGAGAGAGAATCCAACGTGGAGAAAGAGGAAGTCGGGCCGCGAACGCGGGACGAGGAGAGCGAGTGGTGAGAGAGAAAGAGCCGGACCCGCGGCGTGTGAGGAGAGGGAAAACCACGGGGGCTTTTGAAAAAGTTTTATCTTGTCGGTGCGCTCGGCCTCTCAGACGCTACCGAACGCCGGTACGGTGTTGTTGGGCCACGGCGTGGTCGCGGCCTCCTCGCCGACGTGTTTCTAGGAAAGAGAACGAACAGAGAGAAAGAGAGAGAGAAAGAAAGGAAGAAAGAGAGAAAAGGTAGAAAATCCCTTTCATCGTGCGCTCGCGATTTCCGGTCCCGGTTGGTCCTACCGTCGGTACTTCCGTCCATCTCGTCCGCCCGCGCGCTCGCGGACGTTCGCGCGAGAGAATCCCGCGAGGACCGCCGAGAAGAAGGCTCTCGACGAACATCATCCGCAGGATAAGAGGGCAAATTCCTTCTGCGTGTCCTTGGAGGAATTGTTCTTCCTTCGCCCGTCTCGCCATGTACCAACGTCGCTGAGGTGTCCCGCAGTGCCGATCAAGAGAAAGAGCGAGCGAGAGAGAGAGAGAGAAAGAAAGAGGGACGAATACGGCGAGGTAGGAAGAGAGAGAGAGAGAAAGAAGGTCAGTCAGGAAGAGGGCGAAGAGGTCGAGAAGTGATTCCTTGCCGGTCGCGACAGACGACCAGCGGCGAGATGAAGAACCGTGTGTTGCTAAAGAGTGCATTGCTCCTGTTGCTGATCGCGGCGGATGGCCTGGTGACAGCATTAGAGGTAAGTTTTTTAGTATAAGCCTGGATCTCTTGATCCTCAATCCGTTGAAATTACCGGTAGTCTCGTGGAATTTCACCTCGGGGCGGATGGTGCTCTGAAATCGCATTTAGAAGCGTATTATATTGCTCCAATATTCAGTTAGGTGGGCTTTCTTTCGAAAAATTGCACGTGTACATTTGTACTGAACGATGACTAAAGATATGAGATATTTTAATTGACATTTCGCGTCTGTTTAATCGACGGCAAATAATTCTACGAACGTAGCTTCCCAGACGAAAAGCGCGTCCAAGGCCGATATTCATAGTTAGGTCTTATATTTATAAGACCCTAACAGTTTTAAGATGATTATAAACTAATCACAGAGCCGTATTAGCCGCTTAGTACATTACTTAAGATGATCTTGAAATAAGTACGAACTATAAATACCGACCTAAAAGACGTCATAAAGACGTTTCTCTTGGAATATACGTCTGTATTTATAATTGTAGATCGATCCACGATTGACCCTCATTTCAGCGAGCTAGGATTTATTAAATTGTGATTTAAGAAGCATTTTTAAATAAAAGGCTGATTTATAAACCTAACTCTAATCGGATCTCAGGTTGAATCACGACTATGAATACGATTCTATTTAAAAGACGTTATAAAGCGGTTTTCTAGACTAGGTGTTGTTTGGGTTATCACTGATCTCTCAAACGGCGCTGTTGAAAGGAAACTATAGCATCGCTAATATTTCGCTTCATCGTGTTTTTAAATATGTAGGGATCCATAAAATATAGATCATTCCAGCAACGCAGTAACATTGCGACATTTTGGCAATATATCAGTAACATTGCAAACTTCCATGTATAAAGTATTTATTCTTAAAATTACTTGCAATATTGAGATTAAAATTTAAGAAATATGATACCAGGTTCTGCTATGATCCAGCGATATTCGCGAAATTTATCAGCTGAAGCATTTCGGAAACTCCCTGTGCGACACACCGCGATTAGATAGTCCGTGTGGTTCAATCACCGCGATTATACCTGTTATGTGTCTCACTTACGTTTGCTGATAAAGATCGCCGCATACCTCGCGGTGAAGTCACGCTTATCGCTCTCGTAAATCGTCGCGATGGATTCGTACGTATGGAGTGCGGTTATAAATGATCTTTCACCTCTTTTTAAAGGTACCGAAGGTATTTTCCTTTTTGGATTGTATATCATAACTCTGATACGCTTGCGTAATGGAATGTTTGGCATACGACCTGAACAAGGCAGCATTTCACTGTGCTTCAGCTGTGCTGTGCTTCACTCGCGCTTTTGACGATTGAGAAGCTGACATTAAAGCCAATCGAAGTAAAACGACGGCTGAGAAAAATTGATTAATTATTCACACGTATTGCTTGCATCAACGCTATCAGCTGAGTTCGTTTAGCTACCAGCTGTATTGATACAACTATTATGATTTTAATATTCTAAAATTCAGACCTCCGTTGCTTAATCTTCATGAGACGTTATCTGAACTTTCTGATTTTTAGAGTAACGATCGTCCATACTTTCTGTATTTATTGAATTATAACATACATTACAACATATTATGAATTACACATTTTTTAAATAAAAAATCGGTGTAAATTTAATTATGCGGTGTTTATATTTTCATCATGTTGGTGTTAATATTAACACTTTCATAATGCGGATTTTAAATCTCTAGTGTTTATATCAACATCATCAGGTATGGATTTAAAATACCTGTTGTTAAATCTTATTGTCTTTGGTGTTAATATTCAACAACATAACATCAACACGGTGAGAATTATGTATGTAGATACATCCATGGTGTTAAATTCTCATCTCACAGATATTTTTCAGAATGCAGGAGTAACTATCTATTATGTATAAAGATTGCAAACATTATACAGTGAAACAAAATTTTTCTATTGCATAAATCGGATATGTGGAATAGCATTTCAAATGTGAGAATAGATTCGATCTCCTTCTTCATCGAATTGTAAATAAATTCCATAATTCTGGATGTTTGATACTCTTATTCTGTTTCTCTTGCGTGAACTGAAAGACGCGCCGACTCGCTGCGTCGCGCAAAGAAATCCTTCAATTTAACAATGATCAACAGGTACGGGAAAAGAGGACCAGTGGATCGCGGAAATATGCCGTTGAACCGTCAAAGGTGCCGTGGGCTCGGAAAATACGGATTGAATTGTTATGCACAACGCCGCCGGACTTGTTTGACAATCCAGCAACGAGACGCTCCGAGATAATTCGCGCGAATCGATTATATTCCGATCACACCTCGAACTCCGTAGAAGCGGATACGAGCACAAGTCGAACTCGTGTCGCGGCGAACTCCGATCGTTTCTGGAACCCGCCAATCCAGCGAAATATCATTCCGCGAAGCACGGATTTCCGCCGAAACGACACTTCGCCGGTGGCCTGATATGAGAATCCTTCTTCATCAGCTTCTTCGTAATTCTCGATCGTGCGCTCTTTTTTCTTGCATTTATAAGAATGCATGAACAATGACTCAATTCTCAATCTTCAAATTCTGGTTAAATATTAATTGTTTTATCGTTCCATTCCGTTGAAAAATCTCGTTTTTCATTCTTTGTAGAGTATCTTATATTTCTGTAGAAAGAAGGTATCTGAAATTTAATGGAAAATATGATTTTCCAATAAAAAAGATTTTATATAGATGTATGTATACGTACACACACACACACACACACACACACATATGTGTGTGTGTGTAATTTATTAGAGCTATTCTATTTATTCCTGCATTGTTAAATTTATAATGTCTTTAACATAATTTAAATCGTTACTGCTCTTGTATATAATATTCTTCTTCGTTATTCTATATTAAAACAAGGATAAATTTGACATTATAGTGTCAATTTAACATATAATGTCAATTGATATCATATACTGTCAATTTTATCCATTATTTTAGTATAAAATATCTAGATATATTGAATAGGAGCAGTTGGCAACTTAATTAGGTTAAATTTGACACTATAAATTTAATAGTGTGAAAAATAATTAAAACAATTCAATAGATTTTGTAGAAAGCAAAATCTTTATATATATATATATATATATAAAATCTCTATATGATTTTATAATAAATATTATGAACAATCTAATATTTAATATTTTTTTACAAGCACTCAGATGATCATCTGTTTCTCTTTTTCACTAATCCATATAATTTCTTAGGTTTTAGATCAAAAGTGGATTGTAATAACAAGATTGATTATTCTAAAATACACTCTATAAATTAAATAAATTTTGGATGACTTCAAAATATGGATATGGAAATGTTATCTATTATTTCTGTACAAAATATTTAATATTATTATGAAGAGTTTTACTAAAAATGAAAGTGTATAATTAATGTTACAAATAATTAAAAGGAATCATTACTAATCAAAAATCGAAAATATCATTAAATGTCACGTGTAATACGATTCTAAATGAAGTAACGTGTTTTAAAACGCGATGAAAACTTTATGAAATGACTGCTTATTATCGCGTCGCCGATTTTGGAAGAGAAGTAGAATTTTCAATAATTATCGACTAACACGATGATAATTGAGCGGCCAGTATTACGATCGTACAGGATATTTTGATTGTACAATATCGATTAAAAGTAAAAAAAAAAAATTAGTTTAAAAAACCAATATCAGTAAAAAAAGTTTGTCATAAAAGTTTGACATGTTCTGAAATCAAAAGAAAGAAGCAAATTACTTAATTTCTAATTGACTTTTTTTTATTGACTTACAGTGCAATTCTCATATATTGTAGTTTTAGGTAAATAACGGTTTAAAATAAATAAGTGGATTCACAAATAAATTTTTGCACGAACGTTTATTAGAGTTTTATTAGCATGTATGAATAATTTGATTTAATTTGTAATGCTACTTACTTTTTCATTAAATTTTATCATTAAATTTGCAAATATATTGCAAATAAGTACGAAGCTATTTTGTATAAGAATCAAGACAAATAACAAATTATTAACTTTGAAATCAATAAGAGAATTGTGTTCAAATTTTATACAGATACTCAGACGTAATAATAAAATATAATAATATTTTCATATTTTTATTAATGTTTTTAATTGTGACGCGTACATTCTTAAATGATAAGCGGTCAGTATTAGAACCGTGCAGAGTTTAATTGGAGCAAGTCACTATTAAAATGCATCGTCGGTCGACAGTTATTCTATAGTACGTGCGTTTGTTATGATAACTTAACAATGATTGTGTTATCTTCCGTTACAAGTATTAAATATCATGATAGTAATATGATACCAGCGATCAGAGCAAAATAGCGAATTACGCCTGGCATAAAAAGCGCTTTTCATGCGTTACGGTTTATTTGGGCATTACGAATATTTCAAACGACTTTCTCATTTGAGACATACGGCGTGTCTTTTCCGTGATGTGCGCTATTCAAAGCAGCGTTAATGGCTCTATTTGAGTCGCAACGTCGCTTTGTGGCAAGCCGCGATCCCTCGTTGCATCCGCGAACCCAGTAAATATATGCGTTAGCATAAGCAAATCATTCTATGAAATGTTTGGTGATGTTTTTGATGGTGAGCATCGATGCTTTTTCGTTGGATACTTTCCATTTGATGACACAAACTTGACACAAGTATCATTCTGTTTCTGTTACTCATGGAATACCAACAAAGTTTTATGTCGATTTGTGTCACTAAATAGAAGGCATTGATTCTTTATTTACAACGTGAAGCATCGATATTACTTTGGAAGATTACGATAAATTAAAAATATTTTCTTGCTATTTTGTGCACAATGATGCTGTTCGTCATAATCTTGGGTATTTGAGAGAGATTTAATTTCTAAGTTGAAATCTTTGAAATCCGATTACAGATAATTCTTTTGCATCTTCATTTGTCATACTCAAATTTGATAGACACAATAAACCAAAACTAGTATCTAGAATTGAATCTGTTTGTTATTCTTGATATAATTT